TTTTTTTTTTTTCTGTTTTAGACTTTCATTACGAGGTTTAAGCTAAACAACTAACTACAGACAATTATACAGTCTTGATAGCGGTTTATGATTTTGTAGATGAGAGTTAAAGATGAAATGGACAGAAAAGGGGAGGACGGAAGGTAGGCGGAGGAGAGGAGTAAAGGGAAGGTGGAAAAAGGGGAAAAAATGAAGTGAAAGAAAAAACAACAGAGATGGCGGATAAAAATAGAGGAATTTTTTTTTTTGTTTCTAAAGTTGTCTTCCCGCTGTATTTCCGGCTCCCAGAAACACACACATCCACACACACACACAGACACACAGACACACAAATAAACACGCACAAACGTTCACAGGAACACAAACATACTTACACACAGACTTACAAACCGCACACTGATACGCAAATGAAGACACAGAAGCGGACGCACGCACAGACACTGACACAGACCCACATTGACTGCACATCTCAACAGTTACACTGTTGCGTCGACGGCTTTTGCATGCTTGCATTGTCCAGACGTTGTCCCTTTGGCTGTGGTTGTGCATTCTCGGAATCCAATGATTCTGCCATCTTATTACAAATTATTTCCACAAGTTTTTCAAATACTGCTTTCACGTTAATGTTCTCTTTCGCAGATGTTTCGAAAAATTCAAGACCTGCAAAAGCATTTAACAAGAACAACATATTCGATAGAAAGTCGAACATTAAAAAAACGGTAGCAAATACGTTGACCGTGTTACATAGGTTTTTTTTACCGCTATAATTCTTATTTTTGGCTATACTTGAAACGACTTTTGCGTTTCTTCCCATAACATGAATTCACTAAACTTGAACTGAATTTTTGGTTACATTTATGTATTGAATTATCAAATTTACGGAACTGTCCGATAATATTCTTCCGTTATTCCAGCCAATGTCTAACTTAATTTGTTTCAATAATTGAAGCAATATTTTCTTCATCTACGTTACATTAATTTTATCTTTGTGCATCGTATTACAGCAGTAGCAGAAAACATTTCTAGTATGACAAAAGCATTTTAATAAAGGGATCACGTCAGTTTTTGCAAGCCTAATTTGGCGGTTATTGATATTCGATAGCTATAGAATAATAAAGTATTCCCAGATTGAGAAGAAAAGTTAAAGCTGATAGCTTTTTAAATTGCTTCTATGTGATATGAACCTAAGAATTGTAGTCAATGGCAAGAAATAAGTGCAGTCGCATAGAAAGTCAGAAAAGGCTAATTCTACATGGAATGGCGGTAATTTTTGCTTCGAAAAAAGCGAGAAATCAGAAAAAGTTGGAATTTACCGGTTTAAATAAAATCAGCATCAAGCAACGAAGCTTTATAGAAAATTTTGTCATATTTTTAGATCATCCGTGCTTAGTTAATAATTTTTCTAGAATACCTTGATATTTTTCAGCTAAAATTAGTTGACAAAAACTCTCAGTTTTTTCTTCACATTTTACAATAATTGTTATTCATACCGAGCTGCTCGGCCAGTTGTTTTCCTCGTTCAAATGAGACTACACGTTCGTCGTCCATATCGCATTTGTTTCCTACCAACACAACTTGAGCACTTTCCCATGAATAAGTCTTGATTTGCGTACACCTGCAAGGATAAGTTGTCCTCTTGTCAGTTGTTCACCCAAACAAGCCAAGACAGATGACAAAAAGCAAAAAGAAAAATTTTTTAAATATTAGATGCCTAGCAGTAGAGCAATTTCAGTGTTAATTTTTCCCTCATATGACAAATCAGTCTTTTTTGCCTTTTGTCTTTTTGTTTTTTGTTTTATCTGAGCATGATAAAACTGAATCTTTTGTTTTACCACAAATAACCTTCTTTTGCGTTTCCAGTTTGATTGTTTCAGGTTTTACATCTAGGCAACTAAGAGTTAGTCAACAATGTGCAAAACATGCTTAAATGTGTGTGCTTCAATAAAGAAAAGTGGTTAACGAAAAAACGTAAAATATGCAAAGGTATTAGGTGTTTACTTTTTGTTTTTTAATATATCTGTTTATATTGATATACAAATATATTATATGTGCTTTTTTATTACAGGTGCATATTCAGCGTATTCACCGAAGACAAAAAAAATAATGTTTTTCACTTCTGAACAAACAAAAAATAATTTGTACTTAAATTCTGCTTCTTTAAAGAAGCTTTTTTTGCACACCTATCGATGTTTAATAAATGCTGCGATAAAAACTAGAAAAAACATCACAGCTGTTTTCATGTTAAAACACTCGACCGAATTTTGAAGAAGGGGAAGAAAGAAGAAAAAATAAAGATGTCGTGTAAAATTGATCCCTCCATCTTTTTAAAGATAAGATAACATCAGAGGCACATTAATAAAATGTTGGGTTTTTTGTTGAAATGTATCCGAATTTTTTGTGTTTTTGGATTTTTTTCAGTTGTGGTTTTTGTTTCAGTCTTTGATTACAACACACTTTGTTGACGCCTAGATGTGTATCAACAACGTTGATCAAAGAAATTTAGTCATTTTGAAGCAATTTTTGGAAAGTAATTTTTATTTCCTTTACCAGTCCTGGACACTGTTGAATGATTCTTCATTGGTTATGTCATACATCAAGATAAATCCCATAGCACCACGGTAATACGCTGTTGTAATTGTACGGTACCGTTCTTGACCGGCAGTATCCTACAAAGGGCAGAATCAGATTCTTTTGTTGTTCATTATTGTTCCAAAAGTCAGTAGTAAGCTATATCACCTGGACACCTTGCTGCTTTTGGATTTGCTAAATCGCAATCAAAAATAATCGGTAGCAACTGATCACATTTACTTTGGCTAACTCTAGTGTTGGCTGTAAAAAACCTTATCACAGTTATTGTTCCAAAAAAAAGTGGTTGAGATAAAGTCGGCGGCAATTTGTTTTCTACCAACTAAAGCACCTGAACGTTTCCAACCAGAGGAAAAAACCATTAAAGCATCCTTTAGAGAAAGCATTTTGAGTTTCGAGTGGTAATCAATTCCCGGATGTATAAACTTACACATAAATCAAACCGGACTTTCCCCTTGAGTACAAGCGATTAATAGAATTTTGACACCGAAATTAGAGAGAGAAAAAAGAAACAAGGAGAAGAATGAAGAGAGAGGAAAAGAGCCAAGTAAATATGTATGTTACCAAAAACATAAAAATTGACAAGTTTTCTGAACCAAAATTTTAATTCTCACTTTCCGCTTGCTGCTAGTTTCTGCCTTAAGCAAGTTGATATGTGCACATATACATAAATATTTATTTATTTACTATTTAAATGCTCTGCTCATAGTTCTCTTAATAACGTTTCTCTAACTTGCTTGAAGCCTTGTTTTTGACATCGTGTCAACATCCCTGGCCTTATCTCATCAACAGGGTCTCCGTTTTCTGCTACATTTCTGTTCGCAACACAATTAAATAAGTAAAGTCTATCTTCATATAAATTAATTAATAATCAAAAATTGACTGCAGCTTGGAACAATAACAAATCCTCGATTCTAAATTAGCGTCAAAAACAACAGCAAAGACAGCAACAGCAACATCAAAAAGCTTTATCTAACATAACATTTCTGTCTGTAACGTGATTTCCACAGCATAGCCTAATTGCTTCCGCCAGCTACGCCTTAATGTAACCCAGAAAATTAGCTGTAACCTCATGATATTAGTTAATAACAAGCTAGCTGTTAACAAAGTAAATTTTCACAAACAAGCTTTACGACGCCGTCACAGTAAACTTCATCTATCCACTTCAACTTTTACATCGTTATTTCTTTAGCGTTTCGTTATTAGGTTCAAAAAAGCGGAATATCAAAGTTCTTTACTTCTTCCAAAAAAATGAATAAAAAAATTAAAAAAAAAAAGGGATAGCGTCTTACCCATATCTGGAGTTTTACTCGCTTGTCTCCTTTGAAAACAGTTTTAACTTTGAAGTCGATGCCAACAGTGGACACAAATGCAGACGTAAAAGAGTCATCGCAATAACGGAATAGAAATGATGTCTTGCCAACCGAGGAATTGCCGATAATCAAAAGTTTAAACATGTAGTCAAAATTCTGATCTGTACCACTTTGACTTGTGCCGCCGCCGGTGCTGGTATTCCCTCCATAGTTTGTAGAAGTCATTCTAATAATAAATATAGAGTTAAATTAGTCATATGAACCCGTAATTACTAGTAAAACGTCAAAATACTTCGCCCGTGTTAAACGTAAGAAAAAGGCAGAACGATACAAATTGCTCAAACAATCCATAAAATTATATATGTATGTTTGATAGCCGTCGACATTTACTGCATACGCAATCAACACTTTATTTCATTCAAATAATCGGAATCCTTTGTGACGTTTTTACTACACTGCTTTTAATTCGTTTTCGTTCTCTGGCTATGACTTTATTTTTGGACTGACAGTCTCTCAGCTGACATTCCGTTCATTTCAACCTAAACCGGGAAAAAAACCGCACCCAATTGCTCATACAGATAATAAACTAATTATGTTGGCTATTTCTATTTGTTTTTATTGCTTGAGGAATCAGCACAGCTTCAAAATCAGCTTTTTCCTATTTCCAACGGGAAAAGTCTGACAAAAAAGGTGACAGTAGAAAACAGCATTAACAGAAAAACCAACAACGAAGTTTTTTGATTTGGTAGCATTACAGACGAAAAAAAATTTCCATCTTTTCACGCCCACCTCTTCTCACCGATCACTTACGACACTCAACAGACCAACTGCTAAAGTGTAAACCAAGTTCATACTTTCCATTTATAATCAAAACAGGATAAAAACAAAATTGATTGATAAATTTTATCGCCTACACCGAAATATAAAAAATAGCAAAAGAAGTAAGCTGTTTTATTAAAATGGTGATATAATAACCAAACAGACGGCTTATCAGAAACGTCATCACCATAAACAACTTCAAGTAAGGTTTCTGTCAAGTGCCATCGAAGGAAATTACCGTTTTAGTATACGTATATATTCCACTGCTTTTTTTGCGCTTTAATGGTAACAAACTTGTAGGTTTTCAATCAGATCTTTCTTGCCAACGTTAACCGTTGCATGACTTTTTTAACAGCAGAAGTTGGTTCAGTATATATCTCGAAAAGCTGTTGCAATAAGAAATTCTCACTCTCCCATTTTTACCCTTTCCCCCATACCCAACGTTACATATGCGAAAACAAAAAAAAATTTCAAAATCTGAAACGCGCTGAACATAATAGCAAATGAACAAGCAGCATAAAACTAGACAAATTTTATCAAGATTTATCAAGTACAAAAAAAAAAAAGTAAAACAACTTTTGTTCCAAAATTTACCAAAAATAAAGCTAAGCCAATACTTGGTGCCTTCTGCAGCATAATCTGCCATAAATGAGAAAGTGTTTCAGTCCAATTTTTTCCCCCGTTTGGTGCCGGTTCCCCTTTCTTCCTCTCATCCTTCCTTTCAGCCTTCTTCTGTTCCAATCCTTCTCCTCCAAGAGCTTCTAGGCCAGCAGTAACGAGAACAACAAATCAAGCATGCGGTTAAGCAGACAGAAAAGTATACAAATACAACTAAAAGAATAAAACAATGCTATCTAGAAATTTTAGAAAAACAAGAAAAGTTTAAAAATTAAAATAAGCTAAAGAAGTGAATAAAGGCACCAGCTAAAAATAATTAAATAAAAAGTTTGCAAAAAAAAGTAAAATAAAATCAAAAACACTAATTATTTAAGGGTGGTCTAATAAGGTTCACATAAAAATAAATCAAAAAAAAACTTTTTTAAATAATTTATTGATTCTATTTCTAACAGTAAAAAGTTTCTTCATTTTTGGCAATTCATCAACGACAACAACAACAACAATAGCAACAACAAACAACATTAAAAACTGCTCATAAAAGACATTTACATCTATCTATATAATTGTAAATTAGTTTTCCTACGGTAAAAGCAGAGAAAAGAGATAGATCAAAAAATAATACTTTTTTGAAAATCTGTCTAAAAATGGCAACTGAAAAATTTGGTTTTTCCGGATATACCATAACACACTAAAGAAGTTTTAACATTCTTTTCGACCATCTCGGGTGTGATATTTGTGATATCAGTTTGAAAACAAAACAAATAAAAGAAAAATTTGTCCAGAATTCTAGCATGTGTGAAGTTTTTTGAAAGATAAGAAAATCTCCAGCATTTTCAACACTCTGTCAAGCTCCCCTTCTCCCCCCACAAAATGTACTCGAAAATACATTTGTAAGAGTAAGTCAAAGAGTATCAATGTCTCGAAAGATTACAATCCTAACAACAGCAATGTTGATTTATTATATGAGATTGACTATTAGTTATTAAAGAAAAAAAAGAAGGAGGTGAAAACAGGAGGCATTGACAGAAATATATCAGATGTAGTAATTTGTTGACAACAGCTTAATGCTTGCCAAAATTGTATTAAACCAATAACCTGTTGTATAATTAATTTTATGCTAATTGTCTAGCGTAGACACTTTTAACATTAACATATCAAAACTTCTAAAGAAGGGTTATTTTTTCGGAATGAAGCAAAGAAAGACGGGGGAAAAAGTACGTCAAACACTATAATGCTATGCCTTGAAACAATTGTCTGTTATAAAAAGCCACTCAGATTCCTCACTTCTTTTTTTGTTTTCCCTTAAAAAACAAAAAAAAAAACCATTCTTTTTTTTGCCACGACTGTTGTCAAGAAAAAAATAAACGTTATACTTTAAGCAGCAATTTCGTCACACAGCAGTCATGCTGAAACAGCTATACCGATGCAGACTCCTGTGGCCTGGTCTTGCGTTCACAAAGAAAAGTTCAAGTGTCATTAGAATACTTCAGTCCACAATTCGTCAGTATTCACAGTTGTTCAAGCTTTTAACAGCCTTCTCAAAATTTTATTCCAACAAATTTTTGCACTTGTTTTTTTTTCTCAGCACTTTTTTTTTTGCATTCCAATTAAGAATAAATAATTTTACAAATGCACTGAATTTCATTCATGAGTTAAAAGTCCGATCAACCCCAAATTGAAACATTCAGTCTACATCAGCAAACAACACATTTGCATTTTCAAAACAAGTTTACACCTCAAAAATACAATATTGTCTTTTATCCCAATAATTTGCTGAAACATACAAATATCTTCACCAAAAAATCATACGGTAACTTAAAAATTTTGGCCGGTTTTTGTTACATTCTATTCATTCATTGTTTAGCTTATTCTACATTTTTTTTCAGCATTACTAGTTTATGCTCATGATTATATAATTAAAATTAAACAGATAAACGTAAAACTAGCAAACAGCATTTAAAAATGACCATAAGCCAGACAATATATAAAAAGAAGGCTGTCTAATGCGAAATGATAATAAAATTTTATTTCAAAAGATTTAAATAGCAAATTTCACTTTTTAGGATATCTGCAGATAAAGCACTTATCATTTTTTTTTCTTGCGCCTTCCTCCTCTCTTCTCCTTATGTCTTCCAAAAAAAAGAAATATAGACGTTATTATTTATCGAAAAAAATTGCATTTTGCAATTTGGTATCGAAGAACTTTCCCGCTTTTCTCCGACTCCCATCCAATTGTTTT